AATGTGAAACTGGGTGGCAGTCCTCATAGGATCTTTTCGGTTTAAAGCTCTGAATGGCACTACAACTGTTATGGATAGACGTGTCGCTTACCACCAGGCGCACGACAAGTTCGTCCCGTCACTTCGTATTATAAAAAAAAACATTCTCAATGTTAAAAAAACCTAAAATTATTAAGTTTTTGTATGATATCATATAAGTGACGGGACAAACGAGGCATGTCTAGAGATCGGTCCGGGTTTTAACCCGGCGCTTAAGGTTTGAATCGAGGGCATAAACTATTTACTTTTAAATATTTGTTGAACTTAAATCTAATTGTGTTCAAACGTAACGTAATGGTATTATTTCAAAATGTTTCTTGCTTTCTGATCTAGGCTTCGATTGAATTGGTTTGTGGATTCCACAGGATTGCAAGGTGGGTATTGTCTGTAGTTGCCTCTTTTTTTGTCTAAAAAAGATTTTAAGACTGGATGAACTCTTTTGCAAAAGGTTCTGCCGCTACTGAGCACGTCCAATAGTGTTGTATGGATCGAAATAATTAAAAGCTGACGTATTATTTTGGACCGTGTTGCGGAATTTAGAATATTTATTTTACGAACATTATGAACAGTGTAAAGGCTGTTCTAACCCCGTCTGTTTGGGTCCAAAATAAACTGTTCAGCCTTTACTTCAGTAAAGACAAGACCCGCTACTGGTTCAATGAGATTCCAGTTAGGTCATTACCTATGTCGTACCTCTCCTGACTAAGTCTTAACTAGTGTTGGGTAATTGTTTGAAAGTTTTTTAATAAATAAATTACGCATATACTCATGGCCCCACACTAGCGAAACCCTGTGTCGCAGATCACATAAATTCACGAGAGAAATAAATGTAGGCCAAACAAATATTTCTCCCGACTCGGGAATTGAACCCGGAACCTCTGCGTGACAGGCCAGCATGGTAACCGTTCGGCCACGGAGGCAATTGTAATAAAGATGGCGAACTGAACGTGTTTTTCGTATTTAAAAAACTTTGCCTAAGTTTAATCAAGAAAATTAAATTAAACTTTGTTTACTTTGTAATTTCTGGCTGAAACCTAAGCAAAAATCATTTAAAGCGATCTATTTAAACATTGTTATTTTTGTATAAATAACGCAACACACTCATAGGGCTATGAAAGCACTAGGGAAACCCTGTGTCGCGGGTGCCATGGACACACACATAGACAACCACAAATGACGCCCAAACTCGCGAGAGAAATAAATGTAGGCCATACACATACTTCTCCCGGCCTGGGAATCGAACCCAGGACCTCTGCATGGCAGTCCGGCATGGTAACCGTTCGGCCACTGAGGCAGTTAAAAGTAAAATTTCATGAATTAGAAGTCGTGGAACAAAAGTTGCTGTTTATGATGTTAGTATACAGGCCTGCGAGGTTGTTATTATTTTACAAATAAACCCGTATATTGTGAGAATAAAAAACAAATGGGACTTACGAGGCTTATTTTGGCCTTTATATGGTGGATTGGAACGTGTTAAAGCATGATGGTTTACAGTGTTATTTGCTTATCTATAAAATGAAGGTATTTCAAATTGACCAGAAACATATTTGAACATTATTATGGATATAATTTTTTTTACAAGTCGTCTGTATAATTAATTATATCTAGTAGTTTAGTTTTATTGTGCCTATTCAAAAGTTCACCTTAATGGAGGTAACGAGGCTTACAATTTAGCCGATCAGGTAATTAATGTTTAGCACTCGGTCTATACCTCACTCTATAAATGAATATTATTCATATATAAAAATTATATACTACAAACAGTGGACTGTTTTGTTAAGTTTTGAAAGCCAAAATAGATCGTAATTCTTACTAGATTCAGGGGGTCTACTCTAGTTCTCTGAAACAATTACTGTCAAATAAGTAATGTCAAGTATGAAGCTTCATTTTCGCGTCATGCGTCTCTTAATTATTTGGTTCATAAACTATTTTCCACCCTTTGATTTGGTCGAGTACTACTTATTTGACAGAAATTGTTTTTTTTTTGTTTTCATTCGTTCCGCATGGAACAGGGAAGGTCAGAGACCATACTGCCTAGTCATTAGTAATTGTTTCGGACGGAGAACGAGAGTCAGGGCCAGATATGGCAGTTAGTTAGGAGAGGTCGATATATCTAAGTATCTCGTGTCGTGTTATCATCAAATATACAACTAAAAGTGTATATCTTTTGATGAATAACGTTTTATTGTCACTTCTAGATGTTGCTCAATTTAGAATTATTCTTTTCGAATTAGAAAAAAATTCTTAAAACTTTTTTTAAATAATAAAAAATGAGAAATGTGGTTGTGAAAATAAGTATAGTGCGGTTGAAACACGCGAGGCGTTAAAAGTTCCTTTTAAAATGAAATGAGTGACTTTGAAATGTTATTCTTCATTAATTTGTTTCTTTATTTATCAAAAAAACCTTTACCATAAGTGTATTTGATACTGGTTTGGAGACAACGAAATTTTTCGTAAAAAAAAGAATGTCAAAATTATTTATGAAGTTTATTACCATGACACCTTTTCGCTGCTGTATTTAGATGATTACCATATAATGCAAACTTATTTAGGATTATATAATACTAAAATAGGTCAGCACATAATTTATAATATGGTAAATAATATTAATTGAGGTACGAAAATGTAAAATTTATAAAGTAACAACAAAAGAAAAAAGTGTAATTGATATTCAAAAATAAAATCATTACTAATAAATGTAATTTGTTGTTTTATTTGTACATACCTCCATAACATAAGTAATGTAATCGAGATTTTAACGATACTGTACAGCCCTTGATCTAAGGGGAGGCAAACCGGGGCACCTGGCCCGGGCGTCTCAGCCAAAATATTATTTGAAAAAAAAAGCTTACAATACGCCTAATATCCAGCGCGCGCTGTTCTGTCGAAAGTCCAGTTTGTTTTTGAACTCTCCTTTTTTTTCGTCGGGAAATCCTGCTAGGGTTTCTACCGGCTAAAACTCCACGGTGGCCTTCTCGGGTGCTCTAGAGATTATTAGATATTAGATTATATATTAGATTTTAAGAATAAGTGCCACATCCTCCCCCTCCTCACTCCGCCCCGTCATCCTTCCCGCGGCTGCCAAACACACTCCGTTCGCCGGAGCACTCGCACCAATTAAAAAAAAAATACGAATAATTAATTGTGATAGCCACATTAGAGCAGCATCGGAATCAATAAGTTTATGGTGAAAAATGTCAGAATATTTATTCAATTTCATGGCGACTGCCTCGCGTATTTTTAATGATAAGGTGCTTACGATTATTGCATTAAAAAAAAATTTAACTAAGATATATTTTGTATACTTTTTATTTTTATATTTTTTATGAAACGCTAAACATCAATTATTACAAATCCTAAGGACATCTCGGCGGCATAGTACCTACATACAGTTTTAACTTTTAACAAATAATTCGTAATATTTATATCAAGCCAGGCTTTCCTACAACAAGCAAATTATTATGCTCACAATCGAGAAACCATTTTCCTGAAAAGGTAAAAAAAAACAACCGATGTACATAAAATAAAAATAAATAAAAAACATTCCATTGAACAGAAAGTATGAAACCATTGTTGTAAATAGAATTTTGAACGTATTTCTCAATTCTGAGCAAAAATGTAAATAAAAATGGACATAATCTAAAAAAAATACAACAGCACGCTGAAGCTAAGTGCGTTTCTTCAATTTCATATCATAGAAAAACTTTAGGACAACATTCATATAGTTAACACGTTCATTACCGTCATTGATTTTCCAACTTTGGCCGGAGTTCGTTCAGTACCTCAAACGTATATAATATGTACAAGTTCCTATTGCGTAGTTAGTACCTTAAACGCAAATATGAATTCAAAGTAATTGGACATTGACTTGTTCTCTATTGTACCAATTACCAATTGACGTTTTATATCTTTACATAAAGGTTTTATTTATTATTTATTTGTCTCAACACATTAATAAATAACTACATTATGCATAAAGATTAATGCGGTGCGAGATAAAAGACTTGGCAATAGCTTAGTTTACCTGGTTAACAAAAGAAACTAAATAAAATCTGTTGCGGGAAAAATCACAATATATTTTTAGTTCTACAAGTCCTTACACACTTAAAAGGCAAAGCATTACAGTATTATACGAACTCATATATGCGTTGACGGCACTGGGCGAAGTTTTCAAAATGTTGCGAACTCTCAGTAGCATTCAATGCACCGCCGGCAGTAAATGCGTTAACGCTGTCTTTATAATATTCTACATCATTTATTTGAAAAAAAAGAATAGTACATACAACAAATAATATTCCATGGACATCACACCAACCAATGAGAATGTTAAATTAAACCGATTCTTTTTTCTATTTAGCTTTATTGGTAAGACTAGACAGGCGCCGCGCCGCCGCTACCAGTGAATTTGATTATGTCAAACAGTTGAAGTATCATCTTTTTTATTGTTCACTATATTTAAACACACCATATTCATGCTAGAATACATTTAGAGCGTTTATTTTTATATGAATTGTTTCTCAAAGTAGAGGTTTATTTAAATGGCGCACATGTCTAGCTAAAACTAATTGCTTTTGTCTCTCATTGTAGTCCTACTAACGCGAAAATTAAAAATAAAACAAATGACTCTACTGCATAGACCTCTGTAGCTGAATCATAGACAAATTTGACATGTTTATTATTATCGAGTTCTTAGGTTTTCGCGATTGTTACACATAGGAAATGAAACTATTTTTCCGGATTTAAATCGACCATGTCCAACCGTGACCATGGGACCTGTAAAGGGCCCGAAACGCGTACATTAGTTTTAAAAAACAAATATACGCGATTTAAATCCGGAAAAATAGTTTCATTTCCTATGTTTATTATTAATTCATATTTTATTTTTTAATTGTATTGCCGAATTAGTAAGTAATTTTTATTTGGACTCTGCCATTTTTGTATTATTGTAAATAGACATCAATGAACATTACAACAGTATATAATTCTTAAACTGCTAACATATAAAAATAGCAATATTTTATTTTGTTTGTTCGCGTACCAAAAAACTTGAAAAAAATCACGAATCAGCAAAAGCTTTATTCCGGATTTTATAATTTTTCTATTAATAACTAATCTTTATTTTTCTGACAGTGTATAAATAGGTCCGGATTTTGAGACGCTGGCATGTTTGCATTACTGCCATCCGCTAACTAATTGAAATCAAATGGCTAATCGAAGTTTTTTTAAATATCACAAAAACCATAACCCAGTTTTATAATATTGAAATTGTTTAATGTTATTTCAGTTATGCATCGTTAGGCTAAGTGCCGACAAATCGAATACGTTAACTAATTTTAACTGTTTTGGGAGAATTTTGTGCTCTATCTTTTGCTATTTAAAACGGATATTTGACCATTTGTCACTTAACCACGTTTTAGTTAGTGGACGGCAGATTATGCGAATAATTTCCGGCTTCTTATTTCATATATGAATTGACAAAATAATTTTATATAAAATTTATTGCACGTTAATATAATGTAAAACTAAATAACTAGAAAATTATATGACTAAAATATTACACAAGACATATCGATGTTTGGACGACATGAGCAAAGTATGACGATTTCATTATTTTATAATTTTAATAAGTGGATATGTAATAACTATACGAATCATAAACTAACCAGTTATAGTTGAACCCCGAAATGGCGGTAGTTTCTTTTTACTTTGACTAATTTCTTGTACTAAAAAAATTGTTTTAATTAATCCCGCGATATCGAGGGTTCAAATTTAACAGTCAGCAGTTAAACATAAAGGATTATAGAAACATAACTTAAAAATAAATCATTAACTATATTTCGATTACAGAGTTTCTAAATTAATGCGAATAATACATAAAATCACATTTATTTATTCGAATAATTATTCATTTTTAATTTCAAATGAGATTAAAAAAGGAATTTGTTATTTTGAACGCATCCATTCGTGTATGTTCTTAAAGTTGAAAATAAACTTCCACTAAAAATAAAACTTGTGCGAAGTTGAAAAAATTAATCTTATTTCAAAAATCACATTTAATTAAAAATTGCATCGACCCAAGTCCATAATAGAAACTAATCGTCAAAATAATTAAAATATGACTCTTCTTTTCGTGTACAAAATAAACAATTGCACACGTATGTACTTAAAATCCTTTAATTTGGCGCCAAATTTAGTGTCAAATATGACATTTTAATTTTTCTTATCATAAAGCAACAGTTTTAATCCGTACGGGCACTGATAACAAAAAACTTATCCTTAAGCCAATATCACTACAGAAAATTGCTTCTTTCTCGGAAAGTTACTGCAAAATAATTCGACACATACTTTTTACAATGTCTGCTAATTACCTTCTTAAGCTTCAAAAAAATTTACATTTGTTTTCAAGCGCTACAAAATCTCATTAAACTTTTAAAATGGCAAAAGTCTCCGTTTTCGAATCCTACTTTAGAAATCTTATTTAAATTACAAGGACCTGTATCCAAAGTCGCTGAACTCTTTATAAAACTATACTAATTTCTACTGGTTTTGTATTTTTATGATTTTATTGTTATTGTAAAGGAAATAAAACTTTTTCAGTACCTAATATTCGATGTGTTCAAAATTTAAGAAAATTTTTAGCCATAGCATTTTTACAATCTCACGTGTTTTAAAACAGCAACATTTTTTTACGCGCGACTTTGAAATAAAATCATCAAAATAGCAACACCAGCAGCGCTACCATTTGCCATTCACAACTCACTCGCAACTCATACTCAACACACGATATCACAAGCACCGTCGTGGTGTCGTTCAAAAGTCGTTGTCGCTAGATGCGTCGTAGCTCTCGGCGATTTGCGATGGCGGCTGGTAGCGGAAACTTGTTGTCAATTCCGGCCCGTGGAATGACTGAGATCGGAGTACGCTACTGTAAATGGAAAAATTGTTTAAGATTTTTAAACAACGGTACACACCCAGCCAGTAATTTAAAAAATAATTTTGAACTTATAACCATAGATGAAGAAAAAAAATCAGCATTAAGATACCACGATTTTGCAAGTTTTTCGTATTAAGTTTTAAGAAAGTTCCAAATAAGAAATTGTACGTAAGAAATAAATATGCAAAAAGAGTCCCAATTATGTGCTTAAAGGCCATATACCATATACCAGTGTTCAATGACAGAAGTGTCAGTTCGTAATTATATTGTGCTTATTTAGCTGCAAAACTGTGTTTTATTGCCGACTATTTAGACTCTTTTCGCAGTAATACAAAAAAAATTATTAAAAACCTGCATATTTTTTCTTATCTACGAAAGGCATATATACAATTGTGCAATACATACAAAATTGAAAGAGACGTCTATAAATAATTACACTGATAGCCCCGGTTGTTACTTGTAAATAAATAATTATATTTTAGACTTTATGATTAGTAAATAAAAGGTAGCCGCTATTAGAAAAATATACACACCTTAAAATTCTTAGAATCTACTAAAAATGGTAGAAAGAATACAAAAATAACACTTCGTTAATAAAATTTGGCGCAATAGTTAGAAACACCTTAAAAGCAATGTAAAAAGCACATTAATTTTTGGTTTTCCATATAGAAGTATACACAATTTTGACAGAAAAAATAAATGGACTTATAGAAAAACAAAAAAAAACCGACAAAAACGTGATAGAGCACAAAAAAGCGAGTAGTGACAAATACGCCAAAATATTCGGTGCTAAAGTAGCTTAGTCCGCCCAATTTTGGCAGGTTTTGGACGCCACAGCTGTCATTTCGACATTTTGACTAACCTTACAAAACAAGATGGCCGCCTTTCAGTGACATTTAGCCAGAATTGCATGCATTTGACATCTGTCACGCTCTAAAATTTACAATAGAAAAATGTCAGTTGAATAAAAAGGAAATATTACAAAACATGTCATACTTAAATAAAACAAAGGAATAGTTATTTACAAGAAAAGAAAACGAAACTTTTGACACATGACAAAAATTATTGCAACTAAAAAAGTTGACATCAAACTGAAAAATAAGTAACTATGCAAATTCAATGCCGCCATTTTAAACAATTTGGCGCCAATCCGATATACGCATTTTTAGATTCAATGGTTCTGGAATGCTCCAGGAGCGCGCCCTCCAAGAATTTAATATATTTCTTAACTATATTTAGTATATTCCTTAATTGAAAGCTCCTTAAGTCAGTTCCTAAAAGTTAACCAATATATATTTGGTAAGTCACAAATACTGTTTGTTGTATGAACCCAATGTGTACAAAAACAACCGATGTCAATTTTATTACAGTTGAATTAGGGTATCAGTAAGTTACTATGTTAATGATGTATAATAATCTATTATACAGTAAAAGTAAACAAACCAGTTTGATTAAAATTTTAGAGCACGTAAAATATTGAAGATTTCGACTCGATATCTCATCACTTTTTCCAACAATGTTCATTTGAATAACAACTTAAAATTGTATCTGAAAAATGATTATCTAAAAGTGACGTCATTTTTCTAAAGTAGATCCACCTCTATTTGAAATACTATTCATTACAATACTATCCATATAGTCTATGGTTGCATAATGCTGTACGAAAAAAAACGCTCAGTTTATTCAATTAAAGATTTTGTAATCGAATAGTAAATGGAATATTTCAAGAACAAGTATCTAAGTGTAAGAATTTGAAGTTATTCCAACTGAATCCAGTAAACAAATTGATTCATTCAATTGGCCATCACTAAACAGTCTATGGTCCGGTCAATGACCTGTTTATTTACTTTTTCTGTACAATAAGATTGAAACGAACTAAAGTGATAATTAAATAAAATTATGTACCCTTTGAAAGGCTTTATTTATTAGTCCAGTCTTGTGAAGCCGTCTACAAAACGTTACATAATCGCTTAGCAAAAGAAAAGAACCGGATGTTTATCAATTTACGCCCGTTAATGAGTCCATAAATGCGCCCGTAAACGCGCCCGCCAGCTACCCAGCTATCCATTCGTAATGTGTATTTATTAGACAAAATAAAATATAGACAGGGGTCCGTTACTCGCTTGAGGTTACGGAATAAATGCCTACCGCTGAGTGTATCGCCAACATCGCAAGAACTCAGAAAAGTCTTTCATTTACATTACAATCCTTGTACAACCCCAGCATTCGGTTCCGCACGAGTGCACACAGCGAGCAACGTTATTTTCAGCTCTCTGAGCGCGTGCTTAGGTTCCTTTTTCCTTATAGTGAGCGCCTCGTGTCAATAATCAGATTTAGTAGGGTACCATAACGTAGGTATTTACGATTTTGCATGATAGTAATGTATCTGTTACGTAGTAACTATTGAGTAATCTAAAAAAATTCTTACCTGGCGGTTTTCGCAGGCACTTTCGCGGTTTTGCCAAGCGCCGCAGCTTTTCTCGGATCGTATGACGCCCTTCGTTTCCACTTCTCTAATTCCTGTTTCTTTTGTTCTGTAACGAAGCACAAACAGGATTATGAAACATTCTTAATAATGAAAATAGAAGTAAAGTAATTTTCTTCCATTGTTATTGACATGGATTACCGCAAGTAACATCTCCCCGTGACAACATTTATTTCATTTGATAAAGCTAAGTTTGCTTATTTGATAATGAACTATTGTTATAGGTACATTTTGAAGAACTACGGCAACGATATAAATTTGCCTAGCTATCTTATCTTCTTCTAGAAAACGATGAAACAAAAAATGTCGGGTTTGTGTAGTTTCTGTTTTTACGTATTTTACATTATATTAGTTATTATTTACGTATTTTTAATTACTCTCATGTATTGAACTATATTAAAAATGTTCTCTACGTCCTTTTTCCAATAATTTATATACACATATATCAATTTGTTTATTTTTATTATTTCTTTTCATCTCGTTTGTCGCGCTCAATTTTTACGTTGATAAAATTACTGTGCAGAATTGAAAATATTTTAAAATCAGCTGTGACCTCCTGTCGCCGCGCTCGCGATGACATAAAAATGTGACGTCACGGTGCTCGCCATGTTGGCTATTGTGATAAAATTTGAAAAAGTTTATCACTCGAATTTGAGACCTAAACGTGGATTTAATGGTTTTATGAGGCATGTAAGTAGTATAACAGAATAAGTCAATGTCCAACGGGCGGCCCTGTTGCTAAGCGACAAATTGTACAATAAAGTAAGTAAAGTAATACAACGAAGTACAATTGTCCTTCAATGCTATGTACAAAATTCAATATAATTTTGGAAAAGAAAATTAGGAGATGAAAAAAATACTGCGCAGGCGTTTGCGTTCGTTTGTTAATGTTTAGTATCAACATTACCGGCTATTGCAGAACTATGTAACTGAGTCATACACCTATTTCACTTGTTTATATACTATTAATTTTTATTTTCTTATATTACGTATTTAAGTAACTTCTTATCAAAATCTTAATTTTTATTTTTTTCATATTCTGATTATACTATGCTATACATTTTGTTTTTCTAACCTAATTTCGATAGCTCCAATGAACAATACGCCAACTTAATTATTTCGTCATTTTCTGGTTTTAATGTAAACAGCTTTATTTTATTTACTAATGCTATTTAAATTCTAATAAGCTCCTCGAATTTTGGGGAAAAAAATAAAGAAACAAAAAACAAAACTCCAAAAAAAACAAATATCGAAGTTTGTGAAAAAAAAAATAAAAAGAAACAATATAAAAACAGAGATGATAAAAAATGAAGATGGCGTAGTGTTCAATTGGAGGTATCGATTTATTGTAAGAAAAATAAAGTTTTTTTTATATCATAACAAGTGACGGTATGCGGCGCATAGTAAGTGTTAAGTGTCACACCTGTCCACAGTTCTGCAGTTCCTTATCATAATTAACGTAATCAACATTTTTAGAGAAATTGGGTTATTAAAATATCTGGAATCGGCGAAACTGGATCTACCACCCCCTGTAAGCGGTTTTTGTATCTCATTTAGTTTCAGTTGTATTATAATTATTAAGAATTAAGAAAAAAATCCTTCAATCCGTCCGGATTCGAACCGACGTCTTCTAGCTTACCGTGTCAGGCGCTATCCCAACTAAGCCACGGCCACGGAACGAACCAGCGGACCTCACGAATTTTTCTATATGCTTGCGTCGTATCTTTGTATTTGGTTTTTCAACGACTTTTTAGTCGTAGGGCCATACATGAGAAATCTATGATATTTCGTCACCCAGTTAGATACCTTTACAGCTACCAGCCCCGGCTAGAGATTCATTGTGCTTACATTTTTATTGAATTCAATTATTTTTACGTGAAATTACTCCACTAGTTTGTTATAATTATTAATACAAAGATCGAACACTCAGAAAAAAATCCGATCCGGCCGATTTCGAACCGACGTCTTCTAGCATACCGTGCCAGACGCTATACCAATTAAGCACTTTATCAGTTTTATTGTTAAGCAAAATCAGCGTCATTGACACTTTAAAAAAAAACTTGAGATGCCAGTATCTCGAAAGTCATCAAAATGCAAACGCTTATAGACAAGAAGGGCAGAGATGCAGTGCCAATAAAAACTTACCAATAAAAGTGACTTAGAGTAAAATATATTTTTCGGAAAAGTTTGCTTTCTCATTAGAAATCTGCACGCAAAAGCGTTGTTTTCACGCTAGTGTGGAAAAGGTTTTTGAAATTCGGAACTTTATGATGCACCTAACTTTTTCTTTCGATGAAAAACAAAAGATAGCCATTATCTTGTTTTTTTCAACTACGCGATTTGTCATACATTACTTATTTATGTAATATAAATCCAAAAGTATATTTTATTCTTATTATTATTGACATTACATTGACAGATTACTAATTGAGTTTATTAAATTATTTTAGTTCGTGTAAGAACTAACATAATTTCAATAATCACACAGAATAAAAGTACAAGGAAGAATAAAAATTGACGAGGTGTAAATTCACAACGCATCCGAAGATAAACTTTTTCTTATAATTAAAAAAAACTGATGTTTTATAGTTCAATTGTTCTAACATTTTCCTCGTTATAGTGAGATGAAAAGTTGTGTGTTTCGCTCGGCAGCAAAGTTGTTTTGCGTCTCGTGTCTTGAAACCCTCGCTACGCTCACGATTCTATTTTTGAATCGCAGCTTCCTTCGCTTGTTCAGGTTTCAATACAAGCACTCGCGTCAAAGAACAACTTTGCAGCCTTGAATAACAAATAACTATTTTTCACCATGCATATTGATAAGGTTTGAATTTTGACTTACCCATCTCATGTTGTCTAGCACTACCCTTGCTGGGGCGTTCTCCCAACACGTTGACGTAGGTTTTGCTCGGATCGCGACGCAGGAAATTCTTTGGAGAGCTTTCGTTTTTGTATTTAGATATATCTAGGTAGCGCGGCTGGATTTCTTTTGTCTTTTTCTGGCTTATGGAGGTGGTTGACGATGACATTGAGTAATCACCGCTGTACCTGCAAAAATGGCATGTGTAAACATAAACCGGCTGTTAAAATACAGAGGGGTTTTCATTTTAATTTAATTTTGATTTTTTTAAATTTATATATTGATTGTAATGAATATTATGATGTTTTATTTTTTTATGATAATATGTGACGGGACACGCGTGTTCATAGCAGTTGCAGTGTACCACGCAGGGCTTGAAATCTCAAAGATCTGACGGACACTGTCACTCCGCCCGTCACCCTGAGACAAGACGACAAGTCCCATGCGCCTATATTAACGGCAACTATACTGGATGAATTAAATATTACAATGTAGAAACAGTGACGCGGAGCGTTATATCAAAATTCTGCCTCAATTAAAGGTCGCCAAGGCATGCACACGTGGTCACGACAGAGAAAAAACAAGTTGATCCAATGAAATTAAAAAAAAAACTTAAAATAAACCCTATGATGTTAAGATCATTATAACAAATGAGGGCAGTAAATACCTTGAATTCGAGCTTGACTTACAATGTATAAGTCATATATGACCGTGCCCATAAAGAAGCCAAGCCAAACATAACCTTGTGGTTTATAGACGTATACTATAATATAGTAACTCCATACACATGTAGCAGCGCATACAAGCCGAGCGCATACAAGCAGCGCGCGTACAAGCAGCGCGCATACAAGGCGCGCGCATACAAGCTACGTTTATACGTAACCAGACTTGTCTTATTATACTATGACAGAACCGCTTACCTCTGTTTGGGCTGCGCAGGCGGTCGTTTGCCGGACGGGTGTCGCATTACGACAGGTGCGCTTTCTGTGCCGCTTTCGCCTTCCGTATCGCTTGTACCCGTAGTTAGCGACGTCTTCTCATGACTGAAGACGGAAAATTAGAAATTAGCTTTACTAGGTGGAGGTGGTTTAGTTACAAAATTTTAGTTAAAGGTTTTTTTTTCAATTTATTTGTGATCTAGAAACTTTTCTACTAATTTACTTGCGATTCAGTCAACCAGGAACATGAGACATGTAAAGGGCCCGAAACGTTGGTATGTTTGAAAAAACAAATATACGCGATTTAGATCCAGAAAAATAGTTTCATTTCCTATAGTAACCTATTTTAAAAATCTAGCTGTTAACACAGCACTTGCTTGCTAAATTCTTGTTTATGTTTGTAGAACTCAAGGTCTACTTGCTCCACCCTATTACCAATATTTAGTATCACATACTTGTTTTATGACTGTTTGTGTCCCTTGAATAAAATTAAGAAAAAAAAAGAAATATTTCTCACTACTACATAATTTTACAAAGAAACATTTCTTTGTAAAATTAAAAATAAGGTACTTATTTAATTATTAACTTTTGTAACTATAGTGAAAAAATAGGGTGGTCTGCATTAATATTAAACATAAGTGGTTGATGACTGTACCACCTCAGTCAACTGTGCAACAAATATACGCGAACAAAAAACAAATATACGCGATTTAAATCCGGAAAAATAGTTTCATTTCCTATATGTAACAATCGCGCAAACCTAAGAACTCGATACCTTTAATAATTGTTAAGAAATAGGCAATAAGCGTCAAATGTTGATAGAGAACACTATATGAATTAAGATTCAGTCTTTGTTAATTAAGAATTTAAAAAAAATAACTTAAAAAAATGTAAGGTGTATACATATACCGGTCGAAAGTTGTCACGCGATTATTTTAACCAATAGCAAACCTGGTGTCTTCTTCAAAGTATAATTTAGCACATTCTCAATACAAATGTGTGAAAAGTCGAAAAATTAACATTTTTTTTAATATCAAGTGACAGGACGAACAAGTCGTGCGCCTGGCGGTAAACGACACGCCTGCACATAGCAGTTGCAGAGCCACTCAGAGCTTTAAATCACAAAGATCTGAGGGGCACTGCAACTACGCCCGTCACCCTGAGACATAAGTAGACATGACCCATGTACCTATAATTTCACTAGCACCCTTACCCTTCAAAAGTGGAACGCTCATAAACTGCTTGGCGGCAGAAATAGGTAAGGAGCTCTACTGCATGAATTAATGATGTATTATTTATTCTTCCATATTGTTTGATGACAAATCTTACCTAAAAATAGAAGAATTTCGAGGACTACTCCCATTAGTAGTAGAATTCGTGTCGCTATCCAAAATGAAAGTTTTCCTCTTGTCTATGGTCTCGTCGCGTTTCGTCAGAAAGTCTATGTTCTCTTTGGTAGGCGTTATGTCGTCTATGATGAACGTTTTTCTTTTGTCCACTTCACGTCGCTTTGCTTTGTCTGTAGGCTGGTTTATCTGGAAAGAGAAATTAATAAATAAACCACTTTCAGAATTGTTTTACTTTTCAAACCTGGGGGTCGATTCAGAATCTTACGATAACACAGTTGTCGGCCTCGTATTTCGAAAGCACATCGTTGATCATGACTTGTTTTCTCGAATGTCTCGGTCTCGGTCCATACACGATCTTCAAGTCGAAACGTCAAAATAAAAACTAAACTCTACTTACTTGGAAATTAGTAACATAATCTCTCGAAAGCACTACATCGTTGGTCATGGCCTGTCTTCTCAAGTCCCGCGGTCTCAGCTCGTCTGCTTTCGATCTCAAGTCCAAAATATCAGAATGTGTTGACGTGATCATCGGGTCTATAGGTAGGGTTTGATCCTCTTCCATTTCTTCTGAGGAGTAGTCCAAGGTCAGATCTGCGATGTTCGTCGTGTGGAATGACTGGGAACGATGAACTGGGGATGAATGGCTGAAACAAGCAACAGTTTTCGTTAGATAATAGAATTGAAACTTATACGTCCCTACATTGAGGTTTCCTCTGAGAAAACCGACTGTCTCCACCTACTTGAAATGGACCAGTCGCCCAATTTGTATTTCGGAAGATACATTAAATTCATAGCCAAAAATTCAACAAGGAAGCTTGGCATCCTTTCCAGGGTGAGGTATTACTTTACTCTGATGTGTGCGATGGAATTACACGATTTAATTCCGCCTTCCCCTTTCCATCATCGGGGAATTAGGCGTAGGCTTGGGTTTCCCTATGTTGTGGATATTCCAAAGATTAGCACGAAAGGTTACGCTTTCACATTTATATGGCGAACGGCTATGGAGTGAAATTACCTGCCTTCAGGTTTGTTCCCTGAACGTTATAACTTGGGCCTTTTCAAGGCGAGAGTGAATAGGCATTATTTAGGTCGTCGACCTCATCGTCACTTTTCATCAGGTGCGATGGAGGTCAAATGCGCTCTTACATTTTATAAAAAAAGAAGAATAGAATTCGCCATAGTCCGCCCAACTGGCCCACTGGAATGGCGACTTCGCACATTTTCCAAGGTTTGTGAACCTTCTTACACATGCAGGTTGTATCGCGATGTTCTCTTAGATGATATTTCAATTTTTTTAGTATGATTTCAAGTGACGGGATGAACAAGTCGTGCGCCTGGTAGTAAGCGGCACGCCTGTCCATAGCAGTTGAAGGGCACTGTCACTGCGCCCATCACCCTGGGACATAAGTTGACAAGACCCACAGGCCTGTGATTTCACCAGCACCCTACAAAACCAGAACGGAATAATGCTCACATTACTGCGTGACGGCAGAAATAGGTAAGGAGGAAGCACTTCCCTGGACGAACTCTTTCACAAGGAGCTCTACTGCTATTAATTTGGATAATTGGTGAAATTTCATACAGAATATCAGATCTTACCTGGGAGAACTCTGGTCATCTTTGTTACACTCCAGTCGTTTCGCCATTTGCTGTCTCCTTCCCTCCCGCGCGGCTTTCATAGGATCGTAAGACGCTCGCTTCTTCCAGTTTGAGAACTCTATCTCTTTCGTTGCTAGAGCCGATGATGAACGGTGTTGACTTGGTTTTTTGGCTCCTGAAATGTATTTTTAAATTGTTTTACTTTTTATTTAATCGGGTAAGACAGGCAGGCTTTTAGGGCAAGTAGACGGACTCAAGATGATGTATCTTTTAACGGAACGAAAACGGAAACGGAAAACGGATTTCACACGGTAATTTGTAAAATACTAAAAACATGACTATATTACTAACATAATATTGTATATGTCCTTAGAAAACTAATTTTGTTAAAAATAAAGTTTTTGTGGTACTATCTGACAATTTTTAGGTCTGTATTTGGTAGTACTGGTTGAAGACCTTAGTCTTTAGCCTCTGCGGTAGGCGTTTGCATCGCAATATTAGCTGATTGGCCCCAAAAGCTGACCAAGTTTGTGCTATGCGCCTATCGACCTCCGCCGTTTGGTTTAGTAGGCCCAAAGTAATGCGACGTACGGCAGCCAGTATTCACCTATGGCATGGAAACAACGACTCTGATGAAGAAGTCCGCAGAGAACTTACACAGAACTTGCTTATTATCGGATACCGAATGAGCGTATTCGACGGATAACTAAAGTCGGGGACGTTGTACGCAAAATTGAGACAGTTAAATGGAAATGGGCATGAAATGTAGCTAGGATGGATCCAGTCCGGTGGACAAGGAGGATCATGAAGTGGCGACCATGGGCCAACACGCGCGGCAGAGGTCGTCCGCCACTTCGTTGGGTGGATGACATTAAAATTTTCGCGGGCCGCAACTGGATGCATGTGGCACGGGAGAGACGTAAATGGAGAGATATGGAGGAGGTCTATATCGGAAGACGCATGGAGTAGAGGCTGCTTGATGATGATGATTTGGTAGAAAGGTAGGATGTTCAAAGTAAGGTGTTGTAAGCGTTCGTCTTCCCCGACCTGACCCGAATCTCGCTCCTGCATTTTGCACAGAGTTATCACCCGTTTAGAGTGATCTATTTAAATACTTTTATGTGAAAATAAAATCTGATAAATTATTGAAAGTTATGGAACAAAGTTATTGTTTATGATTCGAAGACCGTCTACCTAACAAAAGTCAAAGATCATTTATTCCATAAGTAAAATAAATTTACACTTGAAAACGTCACATTTATATTACATTAAATTAAGCTACTGCTCATTCACTACACTGATTTCCCTGAGAAGAATTCTCATTCTCTTTTCAAATAAACTTAAATAATATGGAATACACTTTGAATCAAATTTGTGAGGATTCTGGAGCCGTGTCGTCTTTCCATACATCTTTATCTAACACGTAGTCTTCAATTTTGTAATATGACTTTTCAATCAAAATATTTTGAATGTAGTTTTTAAACTTAGGAAATGATAATCTTAATACGAGTATGAGCTCCGGAATCTTATTGTAAAAACGTATACAGTTCCCCATAAAAGAGTCGTTTACTTTGGTTAAACGAAATCGTGGTACCATGAGTTTGGACTTAGCTCTAAGGTTAATATTATGGATATCTTCTTTCTTATTGAAATTATGTATATTTTACGGGCATATCAAATATTTGAGTAAATGTACTGTGATGCCACAGTCATGATACCAGTCTCCTTAAACTTTTCTCTGAGAGAAACCCAAAAGCCTAGACGGTACACAAAACGAATCGCTCGTTTTTGCAATACAAATATAGTATTCAAACCATATTTGTATATATTTGTATCTGCCGCTTTACTCCACGTGAGAATCCCGTAGGACATTATACTATGGAAGTAAGTAAAGAAAAGTAGTCTAGCAGTACTAACATCGGTAAGCTCACGTATTCTGCGGACTGCGCATGCAGCGGAGCTTAATCTGCATATGTGGAAACCATTGAAGTTTACTATCTAAGGTCACTCCCAAGAAGACTGCTTTATTAACAAGGTCTATCTTTTCTCCGTTTATTTCTATGCTTGGACTAAACGATTTTAAGTTAGGTAATTTAAATTTAACACATTTTGTCTTCTTGGTATTAAGCAATAAATTGTTAGCATTAAACCAGTAAACTACCTAAGTTGGCAGTACTTCTCTGGACGAACTCTCTCGGAAGGAGCTCTAATGTTACTAAATTATTTTATGATATCAAATGAAGTGGCGAAAAAGTCGTGCGCCTGGTGGTAAGCGACACACTTATCCAATACAGTTGCAGTGCCACTCAGTCAGACACACAATCAGCGAAATTAATTTAGTCCTTAAGCAAATATACTTAAAGCTCATTGCAGCAATAAGTATCGTTGTCGTCTTTTATAATACCTAATGATGGGACGAACAAGTCGTGTGGCTGGTGGCAAGCTACATGCCTGTCCATAACAGTTGCAGTGCCTTAAATTGCAAAGATCTGAGGGGCACTTCCACTGCGGCCGTCACCCTAAGACATAACTTGATAATTTCACCAGAACCCTTACCCTTCAAAACCGGAACACAGTAATGCTGACATCACTGTGTTCCGGACGAACTCTTTCACAAGAAGCTCTACTGCTACCAATATTCCATCCAGATAATGTACCAGTCTTATTGCCACTAGGTTTCGAAAGAACTGTAATTATATTTCTGCTCCAGCACAGCCGTTCACTTAAAGCGGCAAAAACAATTGAAAATCTAATTGGATACTTCGGTGTCGTTAACTATAAAAAGCAATGCCATATCCCAAACTCACGAAATGTCCATTTGGCATTACGATGTCGTGAGTGGCAAGTGTGGCAGATCGGTAAAAAGTAATTCAAGGTTTATTTACATTTCTTTGTTATGTGTAATGTAACAGAGTGTCGCAATGTCACAATAATAGTTAGACTGTGGTAGTAGTAAATTATGCATTCATAGGGAACATATTGGCTAACACGGCCTACACGTTCGCTAATAAAATGATAATGTATTGTAATTTTACTTCGGATTGTAACTAGTAACAATTCATAAACTAACGATATTATTCATGTTATAAATAAATTGATAGATACAATTTGTTATGAGATTAAACACAATTTATTATAAAATTGTGAAAATTGTGACAATATCGATCCTTTTTTTTCGAATTTTGTTTTTTGTTTCTTTTTTTTTTCACAAAAAAAAATTAAAAGAATAAAATAAGTTGGCGGCTCGAGTCTCATCCGTTTGTTTATGCGACTTTTGTTCGTAGATATAGAATATAATATAAAAAGGACTCACCTTTTTCCAGGTTTTTAGGCGTAAATTCCCTCGTAGAAGACCTAGATTTAGTAAGCCTATTCAAAACAGCTTGCCTAGTAGGCTCCGAAATCTTACGACTCTGATGACCAACAGGCTTTCTTTCCTCTCTTGCCATTGGTGGTTCGGACATTCTAGTATTAACGCTTCGTTCCTTATTGGTCACTCTGACTGAGTTTCTAACCAATCCTGGTCCGAATTTCCTCTGCATTTCCGGTGTACTCGGACATCTCGGAGAATTAGCCGGAGCTATAGATTTCAAATCTTGAGAATCGATTCTACCTCTATGTAACGGACGTTTATGTCTTTCCGATTTCTCGTAATCGGTTTCCGATTCGTCCGAATAATCTTTATAATCAGAATTACCACTCGATCTTCTAGCGGTAACTCTGATAGGTTCCAAATAATTATTATTCTTATGAACCATGTTAGAGGAACTTGATCGCTTTATCGTACAACCGAATGCATTAAGTTTCTTACTGTTGCTATCACTGGAAACTCTCTGGTGTTTCTTTGTATCCACGCAACGTGTTGGTTCGATTCTAGAGTATTTCGTTTCCAAAGCGTTATTCTTTAACACAGTCTTGAGACATACCGTTTGATTAGCATTATTAAAGTCAAATTCAGTGGTTCTACCGTCAAAAGATTTATGTCGCGCGTGACTTTTTTTATGTGGCGACAATATCGCATCTACATCATATTGCGGTCTATTTGATAGTGTTTTATCGTCGGAGCTATTGCTCAGTAACCCTCTTTCTGAATTCGGACTGTTCATGTTGAGATCTTTCCTTCTATCTTGGTCTAAAGACTTTGAAGCCGAGTTTAGGAATATCTTAGTGCTTTCGGGAAGTTTACTGGAACCAGTAATGACGTAATGTCCAGGACTTCTTAAAGGACTGCTGTCCCCAGAGTTATCTTTTCTACGTAATCTGTAGTTAAGTGAGTTGGACCTACTAAGTTGTGCTAAGGGAAGTTTTGATGCGGCTGTTTTCTCGCTTATGAGACTGGACGTAAGTGGTGAGTTCCCGAAGTTGGTTGTTCGAGAAGACTGGAGTTTTGCTTGCAAATTTGTAATTGCGTTTTGTGTTTTTAGAAGGTACGCTTCTGTGTCTTGAGTTGGTATAAGATCCTGTAACAAAGAAAAATCAGATTAAATACATTTGCGTTATGTAATTTAAATATACTGAATGTAGTTGTACGGCGGAATACCATTAATTGTGTTTATGCAGCGTTTTACGTGTTCACGTGACTTTTATTATAATTTATTTTTAGTTTACTATCAACCATCGCGCAATACACTCATTTCAGACCTATCAAATGGTAATAAACAAACATCACATGATAACAAATAAACATTTCTAGCAGTTATGATACTATTTACACAAATTTTCTAACTTGAATTCCTATTTAAATAAAATTTCATCGAGGATTTGGATTGGATTATTCTTTTACAAAAGTAGCTGCCAACATTTAATTAATACGCCCTCAAACGTGAAAATTAATTACTAGTAAATTAATTTATCTACTCTCCATGTCATAACCACTTTTTACTTTTTTACTTTTTCGAATTCGGGATTTCAAGAAATGGTTTTACTGCATCGTAGAACAAAACTACTGACCTAGGAGGTTGAAGTTGGATTTCAAGTAATTGTAATGGTGCCGTGTAAAAAAAAAGTATTACATAAATAAAGTATTTTATTTTTTATTTTTCTTTCTTCCCATTATTATATCTACTTTTTCGAACCTCGTTTCCTAAGTGTCCTTTTATTTCGGTAAAATAACTTCATTAAATCATTATGATACTAAATGTTATCTATAGTCCTTTTGGTACCAAGTCACTGTAGGTTATAGTCTTTCTGCAGAGGTGGTCGTTTTGCGATCTAGCCCTTATGCTGATCACGTCATTTTGAAGATATAGTCATTATGATACCGACCCTTATTAACCATTATAATCTTAAAGCATCAATTGTGCAATCATTTTCGTAACAAATACAAATGAATAGCCATTAGCAACAATTTAGAAATAAGCCTTTTAAAAAAAAAACTAGAGATATGGCAATATATCTCTCTTGCTCTAACTTGGAGTTAGTTACATACTTTGGAGAGAGAACTTTAACGATCCAGGTGCCGTTTTAATTTAGCTGCTTTTTATTATCTAACAAAAATACATTTGGTTTCCAAACAACATACACAATTGGAAAATATTACAATTGGTAATGGTAAAAAAAACAATTTAATTTCTAATGATTCGGTGGTTCAACGTTTGGACGGGCATTATTATGTGACAAAGCAATTTTCACGCGCATTGTAAGGTCATTCTTACCAAGAATGGACCTAACTTATTATCATGAAAAAAAGATATTTCACAAGTTTCTCAAAGGTGGTGCTGACGACAAAAAAGCCATTTAAACTCAATATAAAAATCAAGAAATGGAGAAGGTCACAAGATCCGGTGTCACGATTTGTAACTCAGTTGGTAAGGGCGGTGGCCCCAACTTAGCCACACTGGATCTGGATTTATTTATTTTGGAATAAAAATAATTCCGCTGTCACGGGATATCGGACCTCTAAAGGGCCCAAAAAGTTGGTTATGATAAAATAAACATACGCAATTTAGATCCAAAACTTACTTTCATTTCCTATGTGTAACAAATTGCGAAAATGTAAGTCGATAAATAATTCCGCTTTGTTAGCTCCGATTGTTTGTGCTATGCGATTCAAACGATGGATCACATCAGATTGTGTATAAGTTAATTCCAGGTACTGGAGTTACCTCGTGAAGACACCTTGCACATCCAGCATTGAGTTTATGCAATGTCAGTTTTGTTTTTGGCTCACAACTATGTCTACACTTTTTGAATTGCGTAAGTATATGATTTTAAGCGAGTTTTATTCAGAGAGATTTTATGGATTATTTTAAATATCACTCGCGTACACTGGTTGCCTTAAGTTTTTGAATTCGTGACGGCAGTTTTTAGGTAGAGGGAGCAGGTGAAAAAGAGGATAGCGTTTCGAGTGCGATGAGAAAAATGCTTAAAAATAAAAGTTATTATTTAATAAGTGTAATAAATAAATAAAGAGGGAACTGAAATGATAATAGCACAGTCTAGATAAGTGCTAGACCAATGCAACGGTCAGTGGAGAAGAAATCCAGTCTTGTCCAGAGTCCATGGTTAGTCGTTTGGTTTAGGACTGAGGTGATGCCAATCTTATCAAAAACGCTTCAAAAACGTGTGTCTATTCTCCACAAAACGGGGTTGACTCCGACTTCTTTTTTGTGATACATCTCCAGCTGCTTGGAATGAATTTGTCACCCAATTTCAACTTCGGCAGGTACACTAATACCATGGCCAAAAATTCAACTACGAAACTTGGCATCCGTTCTAAGTCGAGGCGTTACTTCACACCAAGATATTTGTTTCAACTGTGTCTACCAAGCACAATTCCGGTCGTGTGTGGAGCACTGCTGCACCCGGAGGTGGTTCTGCTAAATACCAATGGCCGACTTGGAAAAACGTGCCAAGAGGCTTATAGGTGACTCGCATTTAGTACTCCGTAAAGTTGCCTGCTTATCGGTATTACAAGATATATCACGGAAGACTATACGTCTACTGGCTCATCTTTAGGATTCAAAACCCCGAAATAAAAACGGAAAGGTTATAGAATAGTATCGTCGTTGACAACAAGCACATAGAAAAATTCGTGAAGTCCGCTGGTTCGTTCCGTGGCTTAGTTGACAGAGCGTCTGGCACGGTTTGCTAGGAGACGTCGGTTCGAATGCGGCCGGATCCAAGGAATTTTTTCTAAGTGCTCGATTTTTGTATTAATAATTATAACAAACTAGTGGAGTAATTTCACATAAAAATAATTTAATATCAATTCAATAAAAAATGAAGTATCGTCGTTGTTCGTACGTCTGTCTAAGACATTTTCTTCCAAATTATTAAATGAAAAAGCTCAAAAAGTGGCATTGTGATACATCATGTTGTGTGTCTTTCATTCGATTCCAGGTAGGATCAATTTGGGAAATGAACTTTTTGGTTTTGATCCGGTGTTCTGGAGACACGGAGTAAATTCCGTTGCTGTGGTAGGCGGTCAAACTACAGGGAATTTCCTAATTCGAAACCTGGTAATTGATGCGGCTGTCTGACATATTATTATTATTATCAATTATTATAAATGATCTCAACTCACTCCGGATGATCTTGGCTGTATGACCCAGTCACCCAGTCACTCAGTCCATATTTGCCTCCCACTTAACGATCAACACACCTGCCCATACCATAAATTGCCAATCTAATATTCGAGAATCTTCAAATGTTGTTTACGTTGCTATTTAAGTCGTATTTTTTTAAGATATTACGATGGGACGAACAAGTCGTGTGCCTGGTAGTAAGCGAGATGTCCACCCATAATACAATTGCAATAAATGTCTATTCTATTCTATTCTATTCTAATAGTTGCAGTGCCACTCAGAATTTTAAATCACCAAGAGCTGAAGGCACTGCCTTTGAAACCGTCACATACCATAAGTAACTAATTCCATATAATAACAATTATCATTTCTTAATAAAAAAACCCACCTCAAAGTTTATAAAATCCATTGACTTACAATTATATGGACGTCGGGTCCGCGCTAAAAAGTGTCCGAACTTATAGGGCGTTAAAATCGTATACAGAGCGTCATTCACGCTTTAGTCTTCGTTTGTTCGACTGACAGCGAAGCAAGCAAAATTAGACAGTACTGCGATGACATTACAATTTAAATTCAACGTTTTAGCTTTTTCATATTCCTTTACATGTCACTACGTTTAAATAGGTTGACTTGGGACATTTTTTTCGTGGTTTTTGTATTACACCCGTCGTCCATATAATTGTAAGTCAATGATAAAATCACATCTATTTGCCAAGTTTTATTGAGAATGGTTAACGGCAAGTGGGTGAAATCCAATAAACCTGATTCATCCCCTAGTTTGCCACCCTTAGAAGTGGAATATTTTCTCCAAATTTAAATGGGACCAATACCGAGGTACCCTCTTGCCATAAAAAAAAAGAAACATCGAAATCGGCTCACAAATGTCGGAGTAATAGCGTAAGGTACATATAAAAAAAAAAGAAAATTCAGTCGAATTGAGAACCTCCCCCTTTATTTGAAGTCGATGAAAAATATGTCAAAGAAAATATATTTATTTATTTATCTTGTAACACCACGTACAAGAAATATTAGTAACCTCGCCGCTAGATGGCGTTGGGATCAAAATAGAACGCGCTATCGAAATGTTCATTAAATTACAATATAAGCTATATAAGGATATTGCATTGTATCGTTACGGGTTATGAGCCTCCAACTCGCCCTTTTCTTCCAGTGGAAGGCCAACTGCGAAGTGTCGAATCACTCCACTCCAGCATTTCCACAGGTGGGATACTCGGATGAAAGACCAATAGTAATCTGACATCGGTCATCAGCGCGAAAAAATAACCTTGATTCTTAAAAAGAAATGATATCGGTGATGGTACGAAAAAACCACATGCTAACGTAAATATCAGCATCATACAATAAATCTTTACTTTGCATGACATCACACATATTCTCGTGATTCATACCACTGAGTCATGCTACTTTTGGACCGTGCACGGACCCATACATGGGTCTACGTATTGTTATTTTTTTTTTGTTCGAAAAGATTACGTATTCCATTTTCAAGTTCAAGTGTGATGAATTCGTAACTTTGGTGTTATAAAACAACAGGTGATCTCATATATTAATTTTTTTTTATATAAAAAAAAAACTGTCTCCAAAAGTTCGCTAAATCATTTTCGCTGTGATTTATTATCATTGGAATCACATCTACGAGTTACGTGCCAAGTTTTATTGACATCGGTGAACGGAAAGTGTTGAAATTAATTATTTTTTTTATTGATATTCAATTATTTTTTGTGAAATTACTCCACTAGTTTGTTATAATTATTAATACAAAGATCGAACACTCAGAAAAAAGTCCTTCGATCCGGTCGGATACGAACCGACGACTTCTTGCATACCGTGCCAGACGCTATACCAACTAAGCCACGGAACGAACCAACGGACCTCACGAATTTCTCTATGTGCTTGCGTCGTGTCTTTGTACT